CTTTTACTGAGATTTTCATTTATGTTGTCATTTTCTAAGAACTTTTTTTTTCCCACCAAGGTTTTTTACTTTTTTAAGCACATAGCATCCTGCTCCTGCGTTGTGGTTACAATATTTTCTCATTTTTCTGAGGATATTAATAATACTTTAATGAAGTTTTTGTCCTGCATAGTATCTTCCAAGTTGTTTTTTTCTGTTTCTTTGTTTTGGTCTCTATGATAGTTAATTTTATGTATCAACTTGGCTGGGCTATTGGTGCCCAGTTGTTTGGTCAAACATTAGTCTAGATGTTGTTGTTAACTTTAAGCAAAGCAGATTACTTTTCTTAAGGGTGGGCCTATTCACTCAGTTCAAGGACTTAAGAAGAATAATTCTGTCTCAAGACCACAACATAGAAGACATCTTGCCCAAGTTTGCAGCTTGCTGGCTTGCTCTGTGAATTTTGAATTCAAGACTGTAAAATCAATTCTTACATGAACTTCCAGCTTGCCAACCTGCCCTATAAATTTCAGACTTGCCAGCTCCCACAATCACATGAACCAATTCCTTAAAATCAATTTCTCCCTCTCTCTCTCTCTATATATATATCCTCTGCAGAACCCTAATATATTCTCTATCTCCCAAATTAGAGGATTTCCTTACTTGTTTGGTAATCCTTGCTTCTCAGCTCATGTTGAAGAGTGGGGCACCAGAAAACTATGATGGGAGGCTCTGAGCATGAGTGGGGACCATTGACTGTGACACTGAATCAATAGCTTTGGGCTGGTCATTTTCCCCGGTAATGACTCTTCTTATCACCTGCCCAGAGGGAGGGCAAAGGCCTGGTTTCTAACACTGAAGGGATTCGGTGTTGGTGGAAGAGGGGTGTTTGAGTCTCAGCATCTGATGGGAACATCATACTGTAAACCCTGTGCAGCACAGTGCCAAGAGCTCTCCAGTCCTGGGGCCCTGCATTACATCACCCAAAGACTTTGCTAGGATGAGGGAGCAGTTGCCTGGCTGTACAGAGGGAAGATAAAAATCCAGATTGGGTTCTGACTGCCTCTTAAACAGACGTTGACCAGTTCTTATTATAAGCCCTTCTCCCCATCACCTCTCTTTCAGAAGTGACTGATGCCTCCAATTCCCGAGTCTTTGGGGGATTCGATTTCCAGCTTTCCCTTGTTTGTGCCAGTGAGAATTCAGGTCTCTCAGAGATCCTCTTCTCCTCTCTCTTCCTTTTCACCTGTCCCTATGCCTTCCACCTCCAAACTCATGTTGGTGTCATCTCCTTTCCAATTCTCGTCACTTCCATGGGCTTATGACTCATTAAAAATGTCGTTAGTTCCATGGCAGTAGGGTTGTGACAGTAAGCTACCACCATCACTTTGAAGTAGCCAATGAAGCTTCCCT